TGTGGAGTAGACACACTGCCAAAATTTTCCCAATTTTTCTAAGCAAGGTCTAGATACCAGGTAGCCTTCCCAAGAGGAAAAAAATAGGTTTTGTGTTTATACGTTTTTGTATTGGTTTTCACGTATTTATTTAAGAAGCTTGTTGCATTTTGTAAGGCATGGTACTAGACAGTAAGGGTATAGTTGTGATTAAAAGAGTTGGAATCTTAGCTTAATCTTGTAAACCACTACAGTGGCTGAGTGGCAGTTCCCTAACAAGCTAGTCCTCCTGTGGTCTTCTCCCCTGGAATCTGGGCAACCCTACCTACATGTCACTGGAACCACTGGAATGTGGCAGAAATGATTCTATGACAGCCCCATTACAGGACACATGTTTTAAATTCAGAGGTATTTCACCTGAGTAGGTGTCTGGAGCGCTTCTGAAGAAAAACAGATTGAGCATATTATTTGCAAAAGTAATGAACATGATGTTTAAAATAAGTTGATACTATGTTTTGACACTTGTAGTCTCTAGTTTCTATTTAATCCAAATAACCTTGGTTGCCAAAAACTATTTGAGTGCAAAATCATTGCAACTATACGTATGTTACTGCCTCTTTGTTTCTTTGGGACCCAATGTGTCTGGAGTTGGGGGAGGCTAGCCCGCTTTGCTATGCTAAGTACTCCATCTTATCCAAGAGGTGTTTCATAAATTATGTATAACAGTAGATGCCACTCAATAAATATTTTATACGTGATAGATATTTTTGTCTGAAATTACTTTTTCACTTGAGCAATGATTTAAACCCTCGTTTCCAGTTTTATGAGGTGACACTTTTATAATATCATGTAGTTGAATGCAGCTTGAATGTCATAGAGCTTTAGGGCAGCATTAATCATAAATTTGTCTACCCCCACTTCCAGTCCTGGAAAACTTTCCCTTAATTCAGATTTTTCCCATTATATGTGTGGAAGTGCATGCATGTGCATGTGTGTGCATATTTGTGCATGTTTATCTGCCTTCTGTGGATGGGTGGGGACCCATAAGACTTTTGACCCAATGGCACCGAAGCTATGAATTTCCACTGCTTTTCAGAGACTGAGACTTATTTCAGGGAAGAACAAAAGTGTTTTTCAATGGTTAAAAAAAAGACTATTAAACTGAACTGGGATATAGTCCAAAGCCATTTCTCTTGTTTCAGTGGGTGCTATTAAGGTTTAAAATATTGCTTTTTTTTGGTGGAAGGGAGGTTATTGTCCACTTCTGTGAAGACAGAAAACACACATGCCTCTGGACTTACAAGGGCAGTTGCTCTCCTCATGTGGCCCTGGAGGGGGGGAACGGTTCGGTTCCTTGCCAAGGGACGTATGGTCATGTGTGCAGGACTGTCACAGTTCAGAGCTACCTTCCGAGGAGGGCATTGTTTTCTGAAATGGAACTGTGGGATTAAATTCTCCCCTGTTGTGTGTGTGTGTGTGTGTGTGTGTGTGTGTGTATTTTAATCATATACTTCCCACTTGAGTTCCATGGACAGAAGGAAAAGCTTGAGTTCTGCTACTATCCAGTAGGTAGGAGTAGAGGTTGGCTTATGGAGAGTGCTTGTTTTAGCCAAGATTTGCACAGGGCTTGCTGTAGTAAGTCAGTGTTACTGAAATCTCCCTCAAAGCCTGAGGTTCCAAACCAGAAATGGGAGCCTGACTGATAAGAGGAGTAATTGAAGAACAATGACACGCTTCATTTCTTTTTCTTGAATCTAAGTTATGCATAGGTCATTTTCTCTGCATATCCATTTAATGGTTGTTAAATTAAATTGCTTTCTTTCAAGTGGTGATTTTTGTTTCTTTTTTAAACCCTCTTTTTTTTGCCACTTCATTTCATTGCCCTCTTCTTGCATGACTCCAGGTCTGCGAGTGTGAATTTGGGACTTAAATGTCTGCAGAGGCAAGGGCCTGAGGGATTTTTCCCTTTCCATCGCCCTGCTCAGAACTTCTTTAGTAACTACTTTTGCACAAGGTTTGAGTTTTGCTTTGATGGTCTAACACTAGCTTGAGGAGTTCTAAATCTATCCCTCAGTTCTAAATGGCAGTCTTTGTAGATTGTTTTAATATTTAAATGACATGTACATGTATTCATTCTAGGAATGTAAGGTGTAACAATTATGTTTGGGGCAGAGTTGGGTGTTGGAGTCACAGAGGTGTCTTTGTCACTTTGTCTGAGTGTAAGAGGGGAGAAGAGAACAGATTGTCCAGGGGTGTCTATGACCAGGAGCCCGGGTTGGTAGCTTGGAACTTGTTCTCTTCTTTTTCCCATCACACCTACAATCACAGAGTACAGTGTCATCATGCTCTTTGATATGACTAGGCCTGGACTTAGCACAGCCCACTCTCAAGACTAAAATATTTACCTTCAGTCTTCTTGGACTTGTCTGTTTCCCACCTCAGACTTCCCTAGAAACCTGATTTTAGAGGTCTTTTGTCTTGGGCCAGATAGACCTGACATTGAAACATGGGTTTGTCTCTTCCCCAAGGGTTGCCTCTAATCCGATTTCCTGCATGCCTCTGAACTCTACATCTTCCCACTCATTCCTTTGGCAAATACTATTTGAGGAGTTACCATGTGTCAGACATGAAATTAGGCACTGGGTTACATTCTAGTCAGAGGACAGGTAATAAACTTGTATGTGTATAATATATCAGATAGTATTAATTGCCAGGAGAGACACATTGGTGCTTGCTATTTTGTGTGTGGTGGTGGGGAGATGGTGTTTGAGCAGAGACCTGGAGGAAGTAGGGGACCAACTTATGTATGTGTCTAGGTTTGTCTAGGGTGTTGCTTCTCAACTGGTCCTATTTTGTCCTCCAAAGGATATTTGGCAGTGTCTGGAGATGTTTTTGGTCACAGCCTTGGGGGAGAGGTAGTGTGTCACTACCTCTCCCAGTGGGTAGAGGCAGGGGTGCTGCCATACATCCTTCAGTACATAAGAATGAAGCATTATCTGGTTCAAAATGTCAGCAATGCTGAAGTTGAGAAACCCTGATCTCGAAGAAGGAAGAGGAGGAATAGCAGTGACGGTGGAAACAGCATGATGTGCAGCCCTTAAATGGGGGCAAGCAGGCGGTTGGAGGAACAGCAGGGAGTCATGGGTTCCCTAGGGAGGACCGAGTAAGGGGAATTAGTGGCAGAAGATGGGAGTGGGGTAAGCGGGGAATGAGAGTGTGTGGAATTTTGTAAAACATTACAAAGACTTTGGCTTTTACCTCAGTGAAATGGGAGACCATTTAAAGGATCTGAGCAGAGGAGTGACCTGCCCCGTCATCCCTCTGTCTGCGGAGCTGAGCGTGTATTAGAGGTACATGAGTGGTGACCTGGGTTATTGCAGTAATCCAGGTGAAAGACGACGGTTTGGGTCAGGGATGAGTGATGCAGGTGGTTTGAGGTTGCCAGATCCTGGGCATAATTTGAGGGTAAAGTCAACACTAAATATGTAGAGTTTAGAGAAAGAAAAAAGCAATATTTGGCCATGGTCTTTGATCTGAACACCTGTAAGGAAGATTGACATTTACTGAAATGGTGTAGTTTGCAGGTTTGGGAAGCAGAGAGAATCAAAGGTTGTTTTTTTTTAGATCAGTGATCCCCAACATTTTTGGCATCAGGGACCAGTTTCATGAAAGACAGTTTTTCCATGAACCAGGAAGGGGGACAGAATGGTTTCGGGATGATTCAAGCACATAACATTTGTTATGCTTTGTAATGTATAATGAAATAATTATTGTTATTAAATCATTACTTTAATATGAGTCTGCAAGCAGTTGATTTATTATGGTCTCTGCAGTCAAACCTCACTGCTAGTGTTAATCTGTATTTGCAGCCACTCCCCAGCATTGGCATCACTTCCTCAGCTCTACCTCAGATCCTCAGGCATTAGATTCTCATAAGGAGTGCACACCCTAGATCCCTCACATAGCTCACAATGGGTTCACACTCCTATGAGAATCTACTATTGCAGCTGATCTGACAGGAGGCAAAGTACAGGCAGTAATGGGAGTGATGAGAAGTGGCTGTAAATACAGATAAGTTTCACTTGCCAGCTGCTTACCTCCTGCTGTGTGGCCCAGTTCCTAACAGCTATGGACTGGTAGCAATTCATGACCTGGGGATTGAGGACCCCTGCTTTAGATGTATTAAGTTTGAGCTGCCTATTATGGCATCCCCATAGATATACTGAATTGGGTGAGTATATATACATTGACATGGAATTTAAGGGAGAGGTCTGCCCTAGAGATTTAAACTTGAGAGTAATCAGTAGATGGCAGATAAAGTCAAGAGACAGGTGACCCTCAAGGGAGTGAGTGTAGGTAGACTTCATAGAGTGGGTTCAAGAGAGAGCAAGAGGGGAGGAATTGGAGAACTACAAGTATAGGGAACTTTTTGGAGGTGGTTTTCTCTAAAGGTGCACAGAGAAATTGGTGGTAACTGGCAGGAGGTGGTGGTGTTTGGCAGTGGAGGCCCATAGAAGATTTGTATTTAGGGTGATGGTCCCGTGAATAGAAGCTGATGAGGCAAAATGCAGAGGGTTGGGTGTCTCTGGTACAGGGGTAGCTGATGTTCAGGAAAGGCTTCCTCTCAGGACCTTGCACAGTTCAACCATGGCAGCTAAAGAGAAAAAGCCAACAATTAGAGACACATCTCGATGTTAAATGCAATAAAGGCTCTGATGAGGGAAAAAGATTACTTTGTAGTTGGGTGGTCCTAAAACTTTTCTTAAGGAAGATTGACTGTGAAGAGGCTATACATCAGGCAATGAGTTTAATTCATTTTATGTTGGGCTTTTTGTATGTTCCAACTTCACTTTACCTACCGTCTGCCAGGATTTCAACATCAAGTTTAAGGTCCATTTTTCTTGTAGTTGTTTAGATAAGAAATACAGTATTGCCCATTCTAACAATCTAAAGAGCACCTCCTATGACGTTCTCTTTTTCTAAAGTAACCTTTTCCTTTTTTTTTTCCTCTTAATTTTCAGGAACAAACTCTAGCCCTTAGGAAAGAAGGAATTGGAGTTGTGTTGGACTCAGAACTGCCTCATTTGATTGGCATAGATGATGACCTTCTGAGTACTGGAATCATCTTGTATCACTTGAAGGTAGAAACTGTTTTAGTGGAATATTCTAAGTTTGCTTCCGGTTTTCCCTTTAAACAGTAGCAAGTTTTGTTATAATACTCTATGGCCATGAATACAACTATTAAAATAAAGAATATACAACAAGTCCTTGAGCCCTTTGAGGATTTTCAACAGTTCACTGGGAGTCTTTGGTATTTGAAGTTCCCATGTTTATGTAGTTGTAAAGCTAGGCGATGAACCTCATTTGCCTTCTATTCTGTAGAATCAGTGAGAGAGGGGTAAGGAACAAAAAGGCAGACAGGCTGAGGAAGAAAAGTTACAAACTCCTCGAGCTGGAATTTTGTCACATGTGCTGCAATTTCCTGCTTCCCTAGTTAGACACAATTATAAAATTATATCTCCCGTCCATATTATTGGGCTTGGTTTGAGCAGGCTTGGTCCTGTTGAGAACACAGAATTCCATCTCAGTATCAGTAGTTGCCTCTGTGACCTTGACTTTAGTGTCCTTTTTCTGATCCTTAAAATGACAGTGGTACTGTGCTTGTGTTTTGAGGGCTCCCATAAACTATATCTTTAGACACAAAGAAACCCCTGGCCACCAGAGGAGAAACTCCAGAAAGGATAGGGACATTGGTAAGTTGACTGTCAGGGCAGTGTCACTGCATGCCAAGATGGGAGTCAGGCCATTGTGAAACAGCAGTCCCAAGAGTTGCACTGTCATTTTCCAGACAACTCAGGCATCATTCCAGAGCCTCAGGGGGCCCTCACCACTCCGAGACTGTGACTGTCTATCGTCCAGCCCCTTGGCTACCAGGTTGCTTTGGCTTAAATGAAAAATAGAGAAACAAGTCATTTCTCCTGTCCTTACTAATATGTTTTACATGACTTTTCTTCCCCCAGGAAGGTCAGACGTATGTTGGTAGAGAAGATGCTTCCACAGAGCAAGATATTGGTGAGAATCTTAATCAGTTATCTCTTCCCAATGACTCTTTAAGGTCATAGTTAATGAAAAATCTTTGGAATGACTGATTTTGAAATAATTAGAAAGAAGAAAACTCTTCTTCAAATTCAGTGTTGGACAGTGTATGCATTTCTGTAATACTGAACACAATTCAAGTGAATAACATGCAACAATTAGTTTAGTGATTACAAAGGAACTATGAATTCTTTCCCCTTCCCAACATACATTCTATACCCTGTCAGGTCTTTCAAGAGTACAGTTCCTTCAGTCACTCTGCACTTGTCACAATGGGACAGTGATTGATGGAAATATGCCAACAGACACAGATAAAGGATACGGGCCTTTTTAATGGAAAGGATACAGATACTTAACTGCACAAAGATGACAGGGGGAAGTAGGAGACATGTACCACACATACACACAAGCAGGCATGAGTTTGTGTGTTTCCCGAAAGTCTTCACAAGGCCCACCAATAGCCAGTGACTTAGCCTGTGCAGATGAGGTCCTGCTGAGCTTTAAGAGCATAACTTAGGCAGTATGTGAGTGTGGCAAGGTGGGGATTGGCAGGGAGGAATTACATAGTCTCAACTGTCTTTAGAATTGCTGGCAATGAGCCTGCTTTCTTACCAAGTGTAAGCTATTAATCAAGCCAATCCTAGCATATTCCCACATGTATTTTCTATTTACATGTAAATAGTATGAGACTGGGAGAGATGAAAATTGTTCCCAGAAGTCCCCAGGTTCACCTGTTTTTGAGTTTTGTTCTGAGCAGCTGGCCAAGAACTGTGCCTAAAGTCATGCAGGTTTATTTGGTAGATGTTCATATCTGTACCTGACTGTTCTTTAAGCAAGAACAATCCAGGCTAGGTAGGTAACCATTAGCAGATGCATGCTCCAAGAAGTCTCAGAATTGGCACAAGCTCAGGCAATGGGCATCTCAGTACAGTTTCTAGAGACCTCTTGGGCCTCCCAAAATCCATGCCGTGTCATGTTCACCTTGGGTTTGTGCTCTTGGAATACAGTGTCTTTAAGTGTGGAGATCACAGTGAGGTTTTGATCCACAGAGACCTCTTTTCCCTTCTATTTTTTTTGTGGCCTCTGAGTGGCTGGTGAAAGAAATTTATTCAGTGTCAAATAGGGCAACTCAATGGCATTCAGTTAAGGCAGTTACTCAACTATTTTCTACCCAAAGATGAAATAAGTTAACATCCAATAACTTATTCCCTCATAAAGGAGATGCCTCTAGTTCTGTTATTGGTTGCCACGAACTCCTCAAATTTTGTTTTCTCACTAAACTTGAATGGTTACTTCACAATACTTACAGGGAAAAGGAAGAATATTCAAAATATAAATAAATCTATAAGCAAATAGCTGGGAGTTACTGCAGTAGATACCACAGGGGAAATATCTTTCTCCTTTGTTTTCCAACTTAGTTCTTCATGGCCTTGACTTGGAGAGTGAGCACTGCATCTTTGAAAACGTTGGGGGGACAGTGACTCTGATACCCCTGAGTGGGTCTCAGTGCTCCGTGAATGGTATTCAGATCATGGAGGCCACACATCTAAACCAAGGTATCTGGTTTTTGATTTTCAGAGTTCTTTGTATACATTGTCGTGAGAAAACAGTTGGCAGACAATGGGAGAACACGTGCAAGTTGGAATTAGCTACTAATCAGATAAAAAAAGCTGAAGATTACTTGCTTCAGTTTGTTGTTTTCTCTTCTGTTTGACTGGAAGTCTTTATAATACTAATTGTCTTGTTGAATTAAACATGAACATATTTGTGATTGTCATAAAAGTTGTTTTGGAAATATGACATTGATAAAATTTTTAAAATTAAAAAAGTATCCTTCAGATGCAAAATTGTAGTACAATAGTTTCTTTTAATAATTTTATTTCTGTTAGTCATATTCTTTTAATGCATAATTATACATAGTGGATTTGTTATCATTTCTATTTTTTATTTTGAAATAATGTTAATATTATAGAAAGGTTGCAAGAATAGTACCAATAACTTACTAATTTCATAATTATTTGAAAACAAATGGTGCCCCATCATCCTTGAATACCTCAGTGTTCATTTCCTTGAAACCATGACATCCACGTTGGGATACTAGCACACTAAGTTTCTGCCATCTGATCCTCAGACCCCATTCAGGCTTCTCCATTTGTCCCACCAACATTCTTTATGGTGCCTCTATTCAGTCTGGCTTCCCATATGGCATTTTGTTGCCACGTTTCTCTAGTCTTTTTCTGGAGCAGTTTCTTGGTCTTTCACTTCTGAAAGACTTTGGCAGTTCTGAAAACAGCAGGTCAGAAATGATGTAGAATGTCCCTCCATATACATGTTGGATTTGTCTACAATTCCTCAGGGTTAGACTGATATGCATTTTTGACAGGAGTGTCAGAGAAATGACACTGTTTTTTCTCATATCTCATTGCATGATTTCTGCTTGTCCCCTTGCTGGTGATGTCTGTGTTGTTCACTCAGTTAAGGTGAAGCTTATCAGACTTCCTCACCATGAAGTTACTCTTTCCTTCTTTGTTCTAATAAGTATATAGGAAGATACTTTGAGATCATGAATATTCTATTCTTTAACATACTTTCACCCACTGGTTTTAGTGTCCATTGCTGGGGTTGTTTTTTGTTTGTTTGTTTACTTGTTTTAGTAGAATTAATAATTATTTGGATGTTGCCAATTGGTGATTTTTTAATTTCATCATTTTTTCTACATAAGCCTTTTTATTGTAAGTAAAAACTTTGTCTTGCCATTTATTTATTTAAATCAGTAGGGTAACACAGCTTGCTGTTGTATTTACTAGGTTTCGATCTGTCTTTGACATTATTTCCTTACTCAGATTGTCCCCGATTTGACTGCTGGGAGTTCTTCAAGCTGGTGTTTTTGTCCTTTGGCTTGTCCTCATTGTTCTGTGAATGCTTCCTTACTTTCTGACACAAGATATTTCAGGCTTGTGTTGTGATTTTTGGAACTAACCAGTTCTGCAAGGAGCCCTTGTTCCTTTTAGTGGAGAATGGTATTTAGAAACCAAAGTGTGGTCATTGCTATTGGGGGGTGTCACAGTTTCCATGTCGTCTCTATGAACAGAGCTGGGGAAAATGTGTGTGTGTGTGTGTGTGTGTGTGTGTGTGTGTGTGTGTGTGTGTACAACCTTTGCAATTATATTTATTTCTATATCTATTTAAATCGCTATACTGAAAAATCTATGTTTCAGTATCTATATGACTAACCAGGAGTTTGCACCGATATTCCAAGACCTCTAATCCCACCCAATACCAGAGAGTTCATTCTGTTTCTCGCCCTCTCTTTACTCATGGCTCTCTTTTCTGACTATGGTGACCCTGGCTTCCATCGTGTAACCAATATCCTGTTTCTCCTGCTCCCTCCACATACAGGAGGTGAGCATGGCCATGCAGTTCAAGAGGTGAACATGCCTATACTGGCCACCATTGCCTTACCCTTCCCAAAGGGCAGAACCCTTCCCAGCCTGTGCCATGTGCCTCCCCTCCCATGCTGACACCTGCTTTACTCTTACTGCCAGATGACTTTTGGACTGAATTTTGTAAAAACGAAGGAAAGAAAGATACTGGCATATCTTAAACCCCCCTTTGTATATTGTAGGTAGTCTTTATAATTTGTAATGGTTGTGTACTATGTAGTTGTATCTGTTGTGACATAGGAATTGGACAGATGGGGACTGGAAAGCCTGCAGTTTATTGGTGTTAGCCAAGCCTGTAAGCAGAAGTCTCTTGCAAGAAGTTGCTTCAGAAATGAAGGACATATGGCATTGACCAGGGGCATCATACTTTTAGAGGAGGTGCATAGAGTTCATCAAATGTGTTCTAAATGCACCCAGTGGATCACCCACTCACGTACCCATCCACACATCATCCACTCACCCATTGGTTTCTCTGTCTTTTACGCTTAATATTTTTCAGTGTCAAGGTAAGTTGAGCTTGGGAAATACCTGAATACCCTGAAGCTGGCCAGGAAGATCAGACATGAGCAGTTGCAAATGGCCATCCTAAACCGAGGACACAGTGAGTGCCCAGTGATCATCACCAAAGTAGCATTTCTTGCTTTTTTGCAATCAAGACAGGGGCTCTGGCAATATGGGATGGAGAAGCACATTGTTTTCTGGGGGCAGTGTTTGTCATACTAAGAGGCTGTCTCTTCCTTGAGCCAGAAAGTCCCCATAATTGGTTGGCAGATAAGAGGTCACCATGTAGGGCTCTTCAGTGGTAGTCCTTGCTTGGGAATTCATAGGCCCTTGACTGACAGCAGGGGTTATTGGAGGATACACAGTTAAACAGGCGACCCTACCAGTGAATAATGCACGTAAAGTTTAGACTGCAACGTGTTTGTTCTGTTAGGGCCGCAGGTGGCCCTACTGTTCCTCCAGGCAGCAGGTGCTGGTACACGGGTTACGGTCAAGGTGAGCAACAGTGTCCCCTTGCCCCGGGGAGAGGAATAAGTATAGAAATCATACACATAATGCACACACAGTGGAAATTTCTGTATTGACTGAATGCATCTACCTTGGTTAACTCAGAGGGAGGTCTTTGTTATGATGAGTGTGTTTATTGTTCCTGGATTTTTTCAAAGGCTTGTACTTGTTTTCAAAAGCATCCTTAATACATGAGTAGGACAGTTTCACTATTGACTTCCAGAATTGTGGGAAATAAAACGTGTACTTTTTCCCTGATTAATTTGAGTGTGTACTTCATATAACCTTATAATTCCTTATAGCCACTTTATCATTTTTGATTTAGCTATTTTCCCAATGTTATGGTGTTTTCTATTTAAATATAATTTTGTTACTTTTTAAATCTACTTTTCATTTGCTTTAATCTACCATTCTTTTCTTTGTGGCTTCTTTGATAACTTTAAATTCTAACACAGAACTAGTAAACATTTGGTTTTATTTTCTGTTATTTTTTCTCCGATGATTTAAAATTTGGGTTTTTTCAGGATTTTTGTTTTAAAATACATAATTGTTTAATACATCTGGGGTTCATCGGTTTATAAAGTATAGCTCTAATTTAACTGAATTTTATAATTTTCCTCCCCATATTTGTATACCATTTATTTTAACTTTGCCCCACTTTATACCTACTTTCCTTTTGAAGAAACTTATTTTACCAAAAATGAAAACACACATAGCATTTTATACATTTCTTAGCTTTCTACTTTGTTTTTTTTTTGTTTTTGTTTTTTTTTTTTTTGAGTTGGAGTCTCACTCTGTCACCCATACTGGAGTGCAGTGGCCACTCCCGGCCACCGCAGCCTTGACCTGCTGGGCTCCGGCGATCCTTTTGCCTCAGCCTTCCAAGCAGCTGGAACTACAGGCGCATGCTACCATGCCCGGCTAATTTTTTTTTAATTTATTGTAGAGATGAGATCTCGCCAAGTTGCCCAGGCGGGTCTTGAACCCGCAGTCTCAGGCAATCCACTCACCTCAGCCTCCCATAGGCGTGGGAATACAGGCTGAGCCACCGAGCCTGGCTTAGCTTTCTATTTTGTTCTAGTACTCTGTGTGTCTACTTTTATATTAGTATCACACAATTTCTTTTTTTTTTTTTTTTTTGAGTTGGAGTCTCATTCTGTCGCCCAGACCGGAGTGCAGTGGCCGCTGCCAGCCACCACATCCTCGACCTGCTGGGCTCCAGTGATCCTTGTGCCTCAACCTTGCGAGTAGCTGGAATTAGAGGTGCGCGCTACCATGCCCGGCTGATTTTTTGATTTATTGTAGAAATGAAGTCTCGCTGCCCAGGCGGGTCTGGAACCCGCGGGCTCAGGCAATCCACTCACCTCAGCCTCCCAAAGGCGCGGGATTACAGGCTGAGCCACCGAGTCTGGCTTTATATCACACAATTTCAATGCTTATTATTTTATGTTTACATCTCTACTCTCATCTGAGTTTCTGTTTGCTATTCATGACTTAGTATTTTAAAAGAATTTTAGAATAGTTTTGTTGTGTTATAATTCCTTTGAAGAGTTAGATTCTAATTTCATTTCTTGCATTTTTGAAAAATATATTTCCATCTTGGGACTTCTGCCTATACAATATTCCTGTTGTATTTGAATTTTCATCTATTTCTTTCAACAGAATGTTGAAGGTTGATAATATATATCTTTGTTAAACTGTGTTTAGTTATTTGTACAAAATTCCAAACATGGTTGTATACAATTGGGATTAATTTGAGGGAATTCTTTAGAATAAGTAGTTGTTGAATCACAAATAGCGCACAAAGGTTAATTCTGGCCGCTGGATCCGCCCAGCTTTGTTGCTCTAATTTGACCTCCTTCTTGATAGTTGACTGCCAGCCACTTTCCTAGGAGCTCCCAGTGCTCCCTTCACCTACTGCCCTGGCCACTTGATGCTGAGTGGATTACAGTGATCACCCTTCCTGTTGTGTTATGGGTTAAATCGTCTCTCGTGGATTTGCCTAGAAGCTAACTGCTACATGTAATGATACTTGTATGAGAAATTCAGTTCTGAATTCCAAACAACATACTGAAAAAAGGAGCTTTTAGAGCACATACTGTTTA